AGCTGTACTCTGAAAAGATGCCCTTGGATTAAAAGAAAGCTCTGGACATGCCAAAAAGGAGGGGAAATTCAGCCCAGTCTTGAAGAAAAGAATATGGACTTAGAGGAAGGGGGGAAATTAACCATTTTGACTACAGCAGAAAATCTATACAGTAGAATACTTATACGGAAAATGATACACAAATGGGTGGTACATCTTTGTTCTCTGGAGCATGTAGAAATAAAGGCAAGGAACTTGAGGACAAAAAGTTTATTGCAAAATAAGAGAAAGATCACCCAGAATAAAACTGCAGGACCTAGGAATCAGTCCATTTCGCCTGTCAGGGGTGGGATTGTCTCCTCTTATCTCCTTTGCCCCTGAGTTTAGTCCACCCTCAGGACGTATTGGTCAGTTTGATTTAAAGGCAGGAAGAGCTCAACTGGACAGGAGTGGTTTGGGTGATTTTCCAGGAACAGGAGACTAGGAAGGAAAAGGTCAGTATCCAGAAGTGCTGCTAAGGAAGTAGTGTGGAGCCTCCCAGCTGTCTGCTGAGGAGGCTGGTGGGAGGGAAGACAGTGAGCTCTCTGGGATGCTAAGCAAACCCTGGGGGATGGGTTACAGCACAGCTGCTGAAGGGCACTGAGAGCCGCTTTTTCCCTCAAAAAAAGGAGACTGTGGAAGGGCTTAGAGTATCCAGCTTTTAAAAAGTGGACTTTAGGAAGTGGCGCTGTGGCTCAAGCAGTAGAGCACTCGCCTTGAGCTGAAAAGCACAGGGACAGCACCCACGCCCAGAGTTCAAGCCCCAGGACCGACAAAAAAAAAAAAAAGTGGACTTTAGGGCTAGGAAGATGGCTCAGTGGTAGAGCGCTTGCCTTGCATGCATGAGGCCCTGGGTTTGATTCCTCAGCACCACATAAACAAAAAGAAAGAAGCCAGAAGTGGCGCTGTGGCTCAAGCCGCAGAGCGCTAGCCTTGAGCTGAAGAGCTGAGGGACAGTACCCAGGCCCAGAGTTCAGGCCCCACGACTGGACCAAAAAAATAATAAATAAATAAATAGTGGACTTTAGCCAGGGCGCTGGTAGCTCACATCTATAATCTAGCTACTCAGGAGGCTGAGATCTGAGGATTGAAATTCAAAGCAATCCTGGGCAGGAAAAATCAAAGATTCATCTCTAATTTATCACAAAAAGCTGAACTGGAGGTGTGGCTCAAATGGGAGAGTGCTAGTCTTAAGCAAAAGAGACCTAGACAGCACCCAAGCTGGAGTTTAAAGCTTAAGCCTCATTAGGGGCATACACACACACACACACACATATACACACACAGTGTGCTTTAAACTGCAGTTCTGCAGCTTGATGAAAATCCTAAACAAATCACTTAAATCCCTGAAATAGCCCTGTCCTCTTATCAAACTCAGGATTGATGGCTTACAAATATTCATCCTACAGCTTTTCCAAAGACCCAACCATAGGTGGCTGTATATGTTACCATTTTTGGGGCGCCAGTATAAAGGGGTGCTGTCCCTTTTAGCTTTTTTGTCCAAAGCTGGTGTTCTACCACTTGAGCACAGCTCCACTTCCAGCTCTTTGCTGGTTAATTGGAGATAAGAGTCTCACAGACGTTTATGCTCAGACTAGCTTCAAACCTCCATCCTCAATCTCTTGAGTAGCTAGATTACAGGGGTGAGCCACCAGTGCCAAGCTGCTCATTTCATTTATTGAAAAAACTAAAATAAAATAAAGTGCAGGGTCTGGGAAGGTGGCTCAGTGGTAGAGCGCTTGCCTTGCATCCATGAGGCCTTGGGTTCCGTTCCTCAACACCACATAAGCAAAAAAAGATGGAAGTGGCGCTGTGGTAACAGAGTGCTAGCCTAGAGCTGAAGAGCTGAGGGACAGCGCCCAGGCCTAGAGTTCAGGCCCCATGACCAACAAAATAAATAATAGCATCAGTGGCTCATGACTGTAATCCTAGTTACTTAAGGAGGTTAAGATCCAAGGATCATGGTTAAAAGCCAGCCCAGGCAGGAAATTCCATTAAGACTCTTACCTGCATAGAATTAACCAGAAAACCAGAAATAGCACTGTGGCTCAAAGTGGTAGAGCACAGCTTTGCGTGAAAAAGCTCAGGGACCGCGCCTAGGTCCTGAGTTCAAGCCCCGTGACCAACCAAAAAAGAGAGAGAGAAAAGAAAATACATGTGTAATAAACATGATTTACTCAGTCTGTGACAATGGCTTTGGATTCATGAAACCCCCTGTAATCAACTATAAAAGCCCTGAGACAAAGCTGAGTTGAACAACTGAGCAGAGATAGAAAGCAAGGCTTGGACAGAAATTCCTTTCCTGAAAAATCTGTAGGATGGGGCTGGGAAGGTGGCTCAGTGGTAGAGCGCTTGCCTTGCATGCTTGAGGCCCTGGGTTTGATTCCTCAGCACCCATAAGCAAATAAAAAAAGAAAGCCGGAAGTGGCGCTGTATGGCTCAAGTGATAGAGCGCTAGCCTTAAGCTGAAGAGCTGAGAGGCATCGCCCAGGCTCAGAGTTCAGGCCCACGACCGGACCCAAAATAAAAAATAAATAAATAAATAAAATCTGTAGGATGTGGGTCAAGTGGTAGAGCATATACAGAGCCTGGATTCAATTCTAAGCCCCACCCCACACACACACACACACATAATTGTCCTAGCATGAGATATAAAAAGTAGGACAATTACTTTGTTACATGTTGGCTGCAAAACCAGTCTACCAACCAACCACATACTTTTTCTCAATATCTCTAAGATATTAGCTCCAGTCTGGGAATGCGGCTTAGTGGTAAAGTGTTTGCCTAGCATGCATGATGCCCTGGGTTGGATTCCTCAGTAACATATAAACAGAAAAAGCCAGAAGTGGCACGGTGGCTCAAGTGGTAGAGTGTTAGGCTTGAGCAAAAGAAGCTCCAGGACAGTGCCCAGGCCGAGTTCCAGCCTATTTTGCAGACCCTTTGAAAAACAAATGTGGTGATTGTAATTCAAAAGCTTATCTGAGTGGAGAAAAGAAAATCAAGAAGAGGGAAAGTTATAAAAGAAGGTTCTTTCCAATGGCCAATATAATGAAAATACAAAAAAAAAAAAAAAGAATGCCCTAAATTCTAGACGAGAAAAATAAAAGGAGGACCTATTTCCATCTCTTTTTATTTTTATAAAAATAAAAAATCAATACAGCTCCTCCACCCTAACTACTGCAAAAAGGTGATTAAGGACAGATTTTTTTTAGGAGCTCCAAAAACATTTCCATTTTTCATGTCTTCACATATATCTAATGGAATTGAACAGTGACCCTCAATCCACAAGCAATTATGAAAGGAATGGGCAGAAAAATTAATTCAGCAAACATTCAATAAGTATTATGTGTCCACTATGCACTCGTTGGCACTAAAGATACAAAGAATAAACAGTCCAGCAAAGCCTTAAAAAAGGCTTGAACAGAAAAACCCTGAGGAACGAGAAAGCAAATGAACCACTTTTCAGACAGCTGCTGCTAGAAAGACAAGACAGAAAAGAAATGTGAATTCCTGAACGGAAGGCTTGGACAGGCAAGGTCTCTCGGACATGACTTTGGACCAGTGCTTTGCAGTCATCTGGCGCCACAGCATTTCAGAACATGAAGTGCAAGAGTCAAGAATTTCAACGCCCCAATGACAGCGGTAACCAGTCTACATACTCACAGAGGCGCGGATTTTTAAATATTTCATGTAACCCAATCAGGAAAGGATTGGCACCCCCCCTACGCTCCGGGCGGGCTCTGCCCCCAAAACCGCGGGCCCAGGAGCCAAGGAACACCCAACCGACTGCCAAGCTTTAATGGCACAGGGCTGTCCCAGTCTCACTGGATCTATTTGTCCCAGGATCTGTAAATCGTGGCCCAAGAACCCAGTATCTCATTTGACGGTGATAAAACACACCCCAACAAAGCCTCCTGGTCACCAGCCTTGCGATGGGGGAGTGGAAGGGAAGAGAAGTGAACACACAGCATCCAAGATTCCAACAAGAAAGGTAAGCAGCACAAGAAAATAAAAGACGCGCTCTAGATTAAAAGGGAGACCCAGTCAAGCGCCAGGGATTCCAATTTTCTCATGTATTAGGGTATGTGTGCTGTCAAGCAGGGCCCTTACACGAAAACAACTTGCTTCGCAGAAAGCACGTTAAGAAAATACAAGTGAGTAAAGCTCTTTTCTGGTCAATAGGTGGGTGGCTCTGAAAAGAGCCTTTAGGAAAAAGCGACTGCTGCGCGCCGAGCCCCGGAGGGACTCACTTGGAGCTGGTGTACTTGGTGACGGCCTTGGTGCCCTCGGACACGGCGTGCTTGGCCAGCTCCCCCGGCAGCAGCAGGCGCACGGCCGTCTGGATCTCCCGCGACGTGATGGTCGAGCGCTTGTTGTAGTGCGCCAGGCGCGACGCTTCGCCCGCGATGCGCTCGAAGATGTCGTTCACGAACGAGTTCATGATGCCCATGGCCTTGGACGAGATGCCGGTGTCCGGGTGCACCTGCTTCAGCACCTTGTACACGTAGATGGAGTAGCTCTCCTTGCGGCTGCGCTTGCGCTTCTTGCCGTCCTTCTTCTGCGCCTTGGTGACGGCTTTTTTGGATCCTTTCTTAGGAGCCGGAGCGGACTTGGCCGGCTCAGGCATGGTTTAAGAAATAAGACAGACAAATAGCAAAAACAAACGCAGGTTAGCGAGGGGAAAAGAAGTATGAGGATGGGCGGGCTTGATCCTTTTATAACTACCTTATGTAAATCAGGCTTCAAAAAGTGTTTCGTTTCTATTGGTTATTGTAGAAACGTTGCTCTTCCCCCCGCCCCCACTAAACTTACGTAACAAGGACGACTCTGGACATTATTGGCCGTTTCTCCAATCATATTGAGACCAATGAAAAGCCGGTTCCTAACCCCACCCCTGGGAAAGCTTATAAAGGCTTGGCTTTCTCTAAGTCCTATTTTGCTGTGAAATTGTGAGCTGCCGTACTGAGTTGTTGATTTCTGTCATGTCTGGCCGGGGTAAACAAGGAGGCAAGGCCCGCGCCAAGGCCAAGTCGCGGTCTTCCCGCGCCGGCCTCCAGTTCCCGGTGGGGCGCGTGCACCGCCTGCTGCGCAAGGGCAACTACGCGGAGCGGGTGGGGGCCGGCGCGCCGGTGTACATGGCGGCGGTGCTGGAGTACCTGACGGCCGAGATCCTGGAGCTGGCGGGCAACGCGGCCCGCGACAACAAGAAGACGCGCATCATCCCGCGCCACCTGCAGCTGGCCATCCGCAACGACGAGGAGCTCAACAAGCTGCTGGGCAAAGTGACCATCGCCCAGGGCGGCGTGCTGCCCAACATCCAGGCCGTTCTGTTACCAAAGAAAACCGAAAGCCATAAGGCCAAAAGCAAATGATCCTGATGCCAAAATAAACCAAAGACAAAAGGCTCTTTTTAGAGCCACCCAAGTCTTCAAAAAAAGAGCTAATACGCTATCGTGATCAGCCCTTCATCCGAAACTTTGGTGGCTCTTAAAAGAGCCTTTTGAGTAAATAGAGGTAGTGCCGAACCTAATTACTTGTTCTTGCCCGGCTTGTGACTCTCCGTTTTCTTAGGCAACAAGACAGCCTGGATATTAGGCAGCACGCCGCCTTGGGCAATGGTGACACCTCCGAGTAGCTTGTTGAGCTCTTCGTCATTTCTTACTGCTAGCTGCAAATGGCGCGGGATGATGCGCGTCTTCTTGTTGTCGCGGGCCGCGTTGCCCGCCAGCTCCAGGATCTCGGCCGTCAGGTACTCCAGCACCGCCGCCATGTACACCGGCGCGCCGGCCCCCACCCGCTCCGCGTAGTTGCCCTTGCGCAGCAGGCGGTGCACGCGCCCCACCGGGAACTGCAGGCCGGCGCGGGAAGACCGCGACTTGGCCTTGGCGCGGGCCTTGCCTCCTTGTTTCCCGCGCCCTGACATGGCAAAAAGGGGGGAAAAAATGCTGCAACAGCTTTTTCCAAGGAGAAGGGTGTGCAAAGGGTAACCAATTTGATGTAATTTATAAGAGCTACCAGGAGGGGTGAAGGGGAGACGTCTAATTGGCTAGAAGAGGAGTAGGGCCAGCCAATAGAAAAGCAGGAAGGAAGGTGGACCCCCCCCTTTCTTTTGCATCCTGCGGTATCCGGAAATGACGCATCTTAAAAGTTCTCACCAATCGCTGAAAGCCACCTTAAAGCTCCTCATTTGCATGAAGAATTCTTAAAGAGAAACGTTTAAAACAAAAAAAACACACAAACACTTTTACTGAGTGTCAATTTGTAGTACCTCAGAAAGGTACTTGTCTCCATCTTAAAGCAGAAAAATCCAAAGGAGGATCATAAATACTACAGGTCTCAAATAGCTGGATGACCACTTCCATCGAAGGTATGGCTTCTGCAGTTTGTTATCTCCTTGAGCCCTAGCTCAGCTTTTCTGTCATATCACAGCCAGACCGCCCCCCCCCCAGTTAAAAAAATATATACAAGGCTGCGTGATTATCCGCAATTGAGTCGCTGGCTCCGCCGCACCCCCACCTTCTGCTCACGGGAATCGTTAGATACACAGCTAGCAGTGATAATTCCATCGTCTCAACCTCCAGGAGGCATCTGTTACCTCCTTACGAGCTCCCCTGTCTTTTGATCGGTCGTGGGGCTTGAACTCCGGGCCTGGGCGCTGTCCCTCAGCTCTTCAGCTCAAGACTAGCGCTCTACCACTTGAGCCACAGTGCCACTTCCAGTTTTTTCTGCTTATGTGGTGCTGAGGAATCGAACCCAGGGCCTCATACTACAAGGCAAGCACTCTATCATTGAGCCACCTTCCCAGCCCCTGCTCCCTCGACTTTTAAAATGTCATCCTGTTTTTTTTTTCCCACCTGCGTTTATTCTGCTATTAATCTGCCCACCCCTAAATCCCTGATCCCAGATGAATGCTGTCCTTTTATCCACCTTTTCACACCTCCCGAAGCAATTTACCCACTGGCAACTAACATCCAAATTTGTTGACTGTTGGACACTGCTAGCACATCTATCAACAAGCTTCTTAAGCATTCTAATGTAAATCATGCAAAAGCCCTCCACTCTCTTCAGTCTTCCATCCGAGATTAGCACTAACAAATTTCCAGATACCAAAGCCAGAAGCTACTAAACTGGTTAGTTATTTAATATACTTTGTTTGTCTGCTGAAATATCCCTTCCTCAGATTTTAGCAGCAGCCCCCAAGGGGGGAATTTCGCCTCCAGACTCTAAAGGCTAGTAAGAACCTCTACACACACACCCTCTCCCTTAAATCTCTCCAGCCCTTGCCCTGGGCTCACATCTGTAATCCTAGCTACTCTGGAGGCTGAGATCTGAAGATCGAGGTTTAAAGCCTGCCAGAACAGACTAATCTGAGAGTGGACTCCAATTAATCAGCAAAATGCTGCAAGCAGAGGTGTGGTTCAAATGATAGAGGGCAAGCCTTGAGTGGGGTGAGAGGGAGGAAGTTAAGCATAAATCCCTGAATTCAAGTTCAGGTGTGGGCACACATACACCCCTCCAGAAATTTCTTATGTTTCTTCCTCCTTAAAGTCTCAACCATAGGCATTCTACATTCCCCACACTGTTTTTGCTGATACAAAAAAGACTAAGATTAAATTACATTCTTTGAGTTGTTTTCTAATGTTCTCTTTTTTCCAGGCCTTTATCCAATCAGCATTTATTGGTCTGATATTGTGCAATGGGAATACTGATAGAGATTAACCCAAAACGTCTGTGATTAGATGCCACTAGAAAATAAAGCCTGGTGAAATCTGAAGTTCAATTAGTTAATATTAGTTATCTAGAGATTAGTCTGTCCTGTAGTCTCTCTTTCCCTCCATTTCAGTACCCTGTGCTAAGAAAAGGGATAAAAAAGATTATATTGAATTTACTATTAGATAAATCCTATCTGTGGTGGAGCCTACCTACCAAGGACATCTGTCTACCTCACAGATAAACTGAGAATATAAGAAATGAAGCACTTGACAAAGGTCATAGAGCCACCAGTCACCAGTGGCTCACACCTGTAATCCCTGCTACTCCGGAGGCTGAGATCTAAGGATCACAGGTCAAAGTCAGTTCAGGAAGTAAAGTCAGTGGAACTCTTTATCTCCAGAAAACCTGAAGTGGCTCAGAGTGGTAGAGCACTAGCCTTGAGCAAAACAAGCATCCAGACCTTGAGTTGAAGCCCCAAGATCAACCAAAAAAAAAAAAAAAAAACAGCCACGTATTAACCCAGGTTTCCAAATCCAAAGAATATGTTCTTCACTGCTTCATTCATATTCTTCCACTAACTGGATGTCGGGTTTAATGAAGTCACAAGTTATCCAGCCTTGTTTTCTTCCCCCTTAGAAGAAGAGAGTGTTAGAGTTAATATCTTAGATTCCATGCAAAGCCATATTGGCTATATCTACATAGACCAATGTCCATCAAGTTCAATTACTGTCTATTGCTCCCCAGAGTTTCCTCCCCAGGATTTTTACCAGAGCTATTGTAAAGGAAATAAAACAAGCTGTTGTAAATACACACCATCACAAACAGGCTGAATCTTATTTCCTTTGATACCTGTGTGATTGTTCACTACAGGCAACTGAGTTCCTTCCCAGGCAGTTTAATTAAACATTTATTTTGCACTCTAGCTCCTTTCCACCATTCCAACTATAGTCTTCTCCCTTCCCCTCCACTTCTCCCATTACTACTATATCCCATACTGCACTGCAGGTCATTCATGAAAAGAGCTTCTGAATGCTGTGCTTCGTCCTTCTTTTGACCTGGCAAAATTCTCATCTTCCAGTTTCAGTTCAAATACCACTCCTTACATGAAGCCTTCCCCACTTCCACACAAACACCCTCTGTGTGCCCTCAATGTTTGGCTCATATCCTAGTGACAGCATTTGCTACTCTTGTGCTTTTTTGTTTGTTGTCAGTTGTGGAGTTTGAACTCTGGGCCTGGGCGCTGTCCCTCAGCTCTTCAGCTCAAGGCTAACACTCTACCACTTGAGCCACAGCACCAGTTTGGGGAGTGATTTGTTGGAGATAAGAGTCTCACGCACTTTCTGCCCCGGCTAGCTTTGAACCGTGATCCTCAGATCTCAGCTTCCTGAGTATCTAGGCTTATAGGCGTGAGCCACCAGTGCCCAGCTTACTCTCTGTGTTTTGTGGTTTGGTTTGGGTTTTGTGCTGGTACTGGGGCTTGAACTCAGGGCTTAGACACTGTCCCTTAACTTTATGACTCAAGGCTGCAGCTCTATCATTTGAGCCACACTTCTACTTCCCCTACTCTCTTTTAATATTGGCCTCATCTTTCTACAACCACTCTGGGAAAAGACCCCCATGTCTTCATATTCAAATTTATTTAGTCCTTCTACCTGGCTGGGGGTATTTTTGCCAGTCCTGGGGCTTGAACTCAGCTTGGGCACTGTCCCTGAGCTTCTTTTTGCTCAAGGCTAGCACTCTACCACTTGAGTCACAACACCACTTCCTGCTTTTTCTATTTATGGGGTGATGAGGAATCGAACCCAGGACTTCATTCATATTAGGTAAGCACACTACCTCTGAGCCACACCCCCAGCACTAGCTGGCTTTTAATATAATACTTCATCCTAGAGTAGTCCTGGATCAAAATATTTTAATTGTATTTTATTGTGGTTCCTGTCTGTAGCTTTTATACTTATTGAGCTAGGTGAATATACCTGGTCATGTCAGTGTAGCAACTCCTAATCTTTAGTAGACAGTGGTTCTAGATGGATAAAATTGGTGAGGACTACAAAAACCCAGGTTACCTTTCAGACTTCCTTTTACCAGATATACCTTTAATTCTTTCGGTATCTATCCATTCAGGAACAAGTACTATATTTTTAATATTTCAACAGAGAAAGATTTAGACAGCCCCTCTAATCTAATAACTAATCTAATAATAATCTTATAACAAATCTTATACTAATCTTTTTTTTGGGGGGGGGGTCCAGTTGTCGGGCCTGAACTCTGGGCCTGGGCACTGTCCCTCAGCTCTTCAGCACTTTACCACTTGAGCCACAACACCACTTTGGCTTTTTTTTTTTCTGCTTATATGGTGCTGAGGAATTGAACCCAGGGCTTCATGCATGCAAGGCAAGCGCTCTATCACTGCACCACCTTCCCAGCCCTCTTATACTAACCTTATAATTTAACCTCAAAAAAGTTGGTGAGAGAAGAACAAAAAGAGCTTTTTGGGAACTCTGAAGCTGAGCTATAAGATCTGGAAAGGGTTAAGAGGTTGGAATGCTACCTCACTAGTGCTCAGAAGGCTGAGAACTGGACTATGAAAGTTGCGACAAAGGAAGTAAGGTAAACATCTGCATTACAGTAAGGGAGTCAGTTATCACTATGTATACAAGCTCTATTTCTTGTTAATGTAACAACAAAATATGTTGAAACCTTGTTTTATGCACCCTGTACTAAATAAATAAGCTTGCTTATATGAACTCAGGATTCTTGTGCTTTGAATCCCCTGACCCCCACTTGATCTACTTACTCTGTTTGTGTCTATTCTCATTTCTCTGGCTCCTGTATCCCATCAAACTGTTCCAGGTTGCAAAGAGCAACAAGAGCTTAACCACTTTTTCAGTTTATTTCCTGTCTTTAACTTATGAATCTGGCCCTTTTGATATTAAAAATAATCTATCTATATAATTATCTATGCATCCTGCCTCATACAATATATATATTAGAAACATAAAACTGGTGGATCTAATAGGTGTTGCTTCTAATATTCAAATTTTTGGTGGGTTTGAATTTTCATTTTTTGTTTTGGTTTTGGTTTTGGTGTTTTGTTTTGTTGGTTGTGGGACCCGAACTCTGGGCCTGGGCGCTGTCCCTCAGCTCTTCAGCTCAAGGGTAGCACTCTACCACTTGAGCCACAGCACCACTTACAGCTTTTTCTGCTTAGGTGGTGCTGAGGAATGGAACCCAGGGCCTCATGCATGCAAGGCAAGCGCTCTACCTCTGAGCCACCTTCCCAGCCCTGCTTTCTGATTTTTGTTTGTTTGTTTGTTTACTGAGGTTTAAGTACAGGGCCTTTTTCTTGCTTGATAGGCATGCTACCATTTAAGTTATGCCCCAGCCCTTCTAGTTTTATTTTTGGGTAAAGACTCCTATTTTTTACTGACCTTGGACTTCATTCCTCCTTCTTATGCATCTCAACTGGCTGAGGTCACAGCCTATCTACTAAGCCCAGTTTATAGGTTGAGATAGGAACTTGCTAAATCTTCCCCCAGGCTTGCCTCAGAGCTAGGCTAGAGTAGATGAGAATTGTAGGTGCATGAGCCACCACACACAGCTCATTAAAATTTTTCAAAATGTTAATTTGGGGAAAATATTTAGTAGATATAAAAATATAAAACATTAAGAGCATCAAATAAAATTTAAAATTATATTATCTTGGGAAAATCTCATCTTGGTTACATCTTTGGTTAAAACTTTCATTAGCGGGGCTGGGAAGGTGGCTCAGTGGAAGAGCGCTTGCCTTGCATGCATGAAGCCCTGGGTTCGATTCCTCATCAGCACATAAGCAAAAAGAAAAAAGCCGGAAGTGGCTCTGTGGCTCAAGAGGTAGAGCGCTAGCCTTGAGCTGAAGAGCTGAGGGACAGCGCCCAGGCCCAGAGTTCAAGCCCCACAACCGGAACCCCCCCCCCAAAAAAAACTTTCATTAGCTTCCCACTGGTCCTAATAAAGACAGTCCCTAACAAAACCATACCCTGGCTACTGCCCCACTGACCCACTGACATCCCTGCCCCCTTGGACTCCAACCCTACATAACTACACCCTAACACTCCAGAAAAAAAAAAAAAAAAACTAAAGGTATTACACAGTCAAGAGTAGGAACAAAAACAATGCTACCAGAGTCCATTCTCCTTCACAAAAGTGAAACTAGAAAATCCTAGATGGCCCACATTCTAGACTGATGATTAAAACAGTAGCCTTTACAGCCTCTTATGGAGCACTCCTGATATCAAGGTCAAACAAGTATCTTGAGCAGTAAGGACCACTATATGGCCCACCATTGACTTCACCTGGAAGGGTGAACAGGCTTGAAAGCCCATCTTCACTCTCTCAAAAGCACAGGCAGATGACTGTCCTCATCCAGGCAGGCACTTCTGTCATCAAACTATTTGGGGATGATCAACAGGGGAAGAAAGGGTCTTTATCCCAATTGCCCACCTTGTGCTTCCTGGTGTTGTACTTTTACCTTCATAAATCCTTGTGGTTGTCCTACTCTCTGTGGTTCTTTCACTGTATGTGGGGCAGCATCCTAATCTGCACATTGCTCCCAAAGAACACAAGACCATTTGGAACAGAGGATCCTCTGGAGCATCCCATCCACTAGCAATAGAACGACTTCCTCAGAGCTGGGAAGGTGGCTCAGTGGTAGAGTGCTTGCCTTGCATGCATGAGGCCCTGGGTTCCATTCCTCAGCACCACCTAAGCAGAAAAGGCTGGGAAAACTGTGGCTCAAATGGTAGAGCACTAGCCTTGAGCTGAAGAGCTGAGGGACAGTGCCCAGGCCCAGAGTTCAGGCTCCATGACCAACAACAAAAAAAAAAAAAAAAAAAAAGAATATTCTGTCTACTACTAGCGTTTTTGCACAGGACTAGGAAATTTATTTTTGTGCTGTCTCTATTGAACTATTTGCCTAAATCTCCTCTTGGAAATTCTCTTCACCAATTCTAACAGGCTTCCTCAGAAAACTATGCTTTGTCTTATAATAGCACTTCACACACATGACAGCAATTGTCTGCCCTCTATCTTCTCTAGTATTGTGTAAACTCAGGGTGCTTTGTTTTGTTTTGTTTTTTACTCCAGTAAACAAAACTGTGGGGACCCACAACAGTCAGGTACTGAAGATATACAAAGGACTTGTGTTTTCTTGTACATAAAATGTAAGACGTTGATGAGCTAAAATATCTACGTGTGATTAAAAATTAGATGGAATTAAACTCCACCCCAATGGAACTCCACCCCAATGGAGCAGCTCTCTGCAGGAACTCAGACTTAACCACCTCAGGCCACGCCTCGAGTTGAGAGAAACAGAGACTACAATTCCCATGAACCCTCGCGGCATCGCGTGGCGCCGGCCGCGAGCTCGGACGCGTAGCTAGCCGCCGCTGGCATTACTCGGGACGTCAGGACTGCGTCTCTCGAGGCGTCGAGAGCCCGTCCAGGTTGGCTACCGGAGCAGAGGTAAGGGAGGCTGGCCTGCAGGTAGAAAAGGGTCGCCCTGGAGTTCGGGTAGGGGTGGCACAGGGTTGTACCTGCTGTATTTTTGCTTCCTCCGACTGCTCCTTCCCGGCGCCGGTTGTAGCGCACGCACCTGGCGCGCCGGTTACCTGTCCGCAGCTGGAAGTCACCGGCACCCAGGGCCCCGCAGCGGGGACGCGTGTCTGCCTGCCGGCTGGCGGGGTGGGCGCCCCGTGGGAGCCGGGTGGAGGTGAAGGGCGATGAGTGTTTGGGGGCACCCAGGGTGAAGGGTAAACCGGGACTTCTTCCCAGCGGCCCTCCCTTCTCCATCGCGGATGCCGAGCGTGGCGCTGCTTCGACGCCTGGTGCCCATGGCCACCCGCGTCTGTTCGTCCCGGGGCTGCGCGGGATCAGCGACCATCGGTCCGGTCGAGGCTGCCATCCGCACGAAGCTGCAACAAGCCCTGAGCCCCGAGGTGCTGGAGCTGCGCAACGAGAGCAGCGGCCACGCTGTTGCCCCGGGCAGTGAGACGCATTTTCGCGTGGCCGTGGTGAGCTCTCGTTTCGAAGGACTGAGCCCCCTGCAACGGCACCGGCTAGTCCACGAGGCGTTGTCGGAGGAGCTGGCCGGGCCCGTCCATGCCCTGGCCATCCAAGCCCGCACCCCCGCTCAGTGGAGGGAGAACCCTCAGTTGGACACTAGCCCTCCCTGCTTGGGTGGGAGCAAGAAAACTCGAGGAACCCCCGCCCCCTAAGAGATGGGGAGGACCAGGATCTGAAGGGGCTGGGTGAGAATGAACTACCTCAACACTTTGGTTTGTAATGATGAGGACCCTTGGGCCCCATTCAGTTGAAGCATCCATGTTCTCTAGTAGCTTGTTTTTCCGTGTGACATTGTCCATAAGGAATTGCACTACTCCTGATTATTAAAACATTAAAGACAAGTTACCCTATGAGGTATGTTGCTGCGTACTTAATGCCAGTTCATTGATGCTACAAGGGTTACAGGGAGAGAAACAGGAAAAAAAAAAAAAAAAGCCAGGTGCTGATGGTTCACACCTGTAATCCTAGCTATTCATTCAGAAGGCTGAGATCTGAGGATCGTAGTTCAAAGGCAGCCCTAGCAGGAAAGTCCGTGAGACTCCTATTTCCAAGTAATTGCCAGAAAACTGGTAGAGAGCACTGTGGCTCAACTAGTAGAGCACTAGCTTTGAAGCAAAAGAGCTCAGGGCAGTTCCTATGCCCAGTTCAAGCCCTTCAACAGACATAATAATACAATAGACTAGAGAAAGGGTTCGTAGGACTAGGAGGCAGGGTAGCTCCAGTGGAGAACAGGACCCAGAGTTCAAACCCCTGGTAGCAAGAGAGATTTTTTTTTTAAGGTGGAAGGTAAGGACCTACTTGGAACTCAAAGGAAAACAAATCAGACAGGAATGGTATTTCTGAGAAGAGAAAGAAGTAGAAACTGGACAGGGCAGTTGTATAGACAAAAAAGTTTTTGAACTTCGTATTAGTGAAATGTTTTGGGACTTTGTGTATGTGTGCTAGTACTGGGGCTTTAACTCAGAACCCGGGTGCCATCCCTGAGCTTTTTTGCTCAAGGTTAATGCTCTACCCCTTGAGCCACAGCTCCATTTCTGGCATTTTGGGTAACTAATTAGAGGTAAAAATCTGATGCACTTTCCTATCCTGGTTGGCTTTGAACCAGGATCCTCAGATTAGCAGCTAATATTGCAGGTATGAGCCGCAGGCACCCAGATAATATGTTTCTTTAAAGGTTCATTAGAAGATTTGGAGGAAATTTGGTTCTGTTTTGTTTCTAAGGAAAAACAGAAACATCTTAAACATTCTACATTTTAAATCTATGAAAGGAAAAGTCAGAGTGGCAAGACCAACTTAGGAAGTGTGCCATGTTATTCTGGCTGGCCTTCAGCTTGGGGAGGGAATTGTTGACCACCGCTCTCACTCTTCCTGGTCTGGCAGGATGGCATTAGATATGCTGGAGAGGCAAAGAAGCAGAGCCAGTTTGGATTTTAAAGATTAGTTTCCTTTTATTTTTCATCAATATTTTTTCACTTCATTTTTCACATCAACAGAGTTGGGTTGAGAATCTCCAGGACAGGGAGGGAGGCGGATGAGTCTCCCCTGAGACGCAGGGGAGAGGGCTGCATCCAGCAAATAAAGGGTGAAAGGAGGGAGGGGGGGCACACACTCAGATACTGGGCACTGAAGGAGAAGGCAGTCCTTTGAGCACAGACACCAAAGAGTTAAAACAGTCACCACCTGGTTCAGGGTTACAAAAGTGGGGAATGACCATAGGGGCACCAGACAGAGCATGAGGGTGAATCTGGATTTTCTTTTTTGTTATTTTCACTTTTTTCCTTTTAACTTTTTTTTTTTTAACATTTTACAAACACCTAAAAACTACAATACATCACAGCTACTGTGGGAGTGGGAGGAGGGCACCAAAGCAGCCACGCAGAGTAGAGCGGGACATGGGCAGCTTCACCTACAGAGGCTATTGTGTGGGTGAGATGGGGAAACTGAGGCTCTGGTCCCTGCCTTTGGGGTCCCCCACTTACTGCCCAACCTCTCCTCTTGAAAAAGAGTTGCCAGGAGGGCCCTTGCCCCAGCTCCTTGTGCTTTTTGATCTGCTGGTGTGACCCTATATGCCTGGTCTCTTTCCTTCTCTCGTTTCACCATCAGCTAGGAGACAGACTGGGGCAAGAGAGGGAACTGTGCTCTTTCTAACTGTGCTATGGTGAGTAGGTGGAGCCTCTCACTCCAGAGGAGGCCCTACATTTAAAGGAAAGAGACAGGCCTTGTCAGGTGCCCTTGGGTTTCACTAGGCTACAGGACTCACCTTGGCCTGGCCTAGGACTCCTCCCTCCTAGGTTCAACACAGACACAAAGTTCAGGGAGGTACTGTGGGAGGCAGAGCGTGTGTCCATTGAGATCATCCTTGGCTTATAGTTGATAGGACAGTATAGTGGTACCCCTCCCCCATGGCACATACATCCACATACATAAGTGTACACATACATCCACACACACAGTCCTGCTGAGCTGCCTCAGAACTTAATATCTAAATAAATAAGGATCAGAAAGGTAATTTCATAAAATCCGGGCTTCATACTTATAGCCCAAATTGAGGGGAAAGTGGAGGCCAGAGGGCTGAGGTTTATTGCTACTCCCCCAGCATCCAACAGGAGGTGTGAGAGGGCACCCGAGACCCTTCAGACTTGAGTTCTTTTGGTCCATAGTCTACACTCAACCTCAGCCCCCAACGTAATATCCATGGTTTCACCAGGGCCTAGGCAGAGGAAATGAGGGGAAGGCAGGAAGCCTGTTCTGGAACCCCTGAGCAGGGAAGCAAGGGCCCCTCACTAACACTGGGGGAGAGAAGGTGGGGCTCAGCCTTCTCTTGTGCAAAGTCAAGGGTGGTAGGAAGTGGGGAGTGCTTCATCCCACAACTGGGGTGAAGGCGCCTTCCCTGTAGTCCCTGCCCACGGGGGAGGGGGGAAGGGGTCACACACATGCACACACACACACACAGCTAAGACACCAAACACAGGAGTGGAGAGTGAGGGTTCTGGGGGGCTAGGATGGCAGGGCAGGGAAGGGGAAGAAGGAGCTGTTGGTCTCACAGTGTGCCTGCCATCCCTAAAACCCCAGAGACCCCCTCACTGCAGCACCTGCCCCCGGGTCTCAGGAAGCTTCAGGGCCAGAGAGCTGCCAAGGGCAAGGGCAGCTGAGGCGAAGAGGATGGGGGCTGCCTTGGTGATGCCCACAAAGGATGTGAAGATGCTGATCCCCAGCACTGCTGCCAGCTTACACAGGGCATTCAGGAAGCCGAAAGCTGTGGTTCTGCTCGGGAGAGCCCCAGTGCCATGTGGAGGAAGGGCCCAGGAAGGAGACAATGAATAGGACAGCAAGGAAATGAAATGGTGGAAGATGGCAGGCCATGGGCACCAGGAAGATGAAGGATGGAGAGATCACGGAAGGGAAGGGTAGGCATCAAAGAATATAGATAAATTGGGAGGCAAAGGGGAAAGGAAACCAAAAACAGGTTAATAGGTAAAATTGCAATGATTACACCCCTTCCTCACCCCATTTCTCCCCTGCCCTCCAGGCCCTAAGCCTGGTGCCCTGCTCCTCTCACACCCATAACTACCTCTTGTCAGAAGGGTACAGTTCGACTGTTAACACGTCCAGCGCATTCCAGGATGCAATACTGACTCCCCCAAAAAGACAGAGCAGAGCGATCATGGCTGACTCGCTGTTCCCAAAAGACAGGAAGAAGCAGGAGACACAGGACATCACGCTGGAACCCGCTGCAGCCAGGACAAGAGAGAGCAATGAAGCCCACCCAGGACCCAGCCATGGCCATCAGCTAACTCTGGGACAACCAAAGGAAGGATTTTTTTTTTTTTGCTTGTCCTCACACTCCCTTGTAACTATTAGTAATATCAGCAGCAGCCACAGGCCAAAAATCTTGATGCTTTTCATGTGTTGATCTCCCTCATCAATCCTATGAGGCAGTTACAATGATCATTTCCATGTTGCAGGTGACAACCAGGCTCATAGAGGGTAAATTACTTGTCTAAGGCAGGTGGTAGAGCTGAGATTCAAAACCATGCCAAAGCGTGTGTCCCAAACACTTGTTATCCTGCCTACCTTCTTTGCCCCCTTAAAGAAAGTTCTATACCAGGCCGACCCCATCCTATAGAAAACATGAGAGGGAGATAATCACTGGTCAATCTCTTCCACAGTCCACTGTGGGAAGCCTATGGACAGTGTCCTCCAACCCCCTAGCTCCCCATCAGTTCTGATCAGCCATTGCCCTTCCTCTCCAGCTTACCAAGCATCCTGAGCCTGCCAATCTTGTCCATGAGCAGAGCAGATACAATATTCCCAGGAAGCACAGCCAGCGTCCCCAAGAAACTGACAAAGTACACCATGTAGGCACCTTCGCCCGTCCCTGTTACATCTAGCGGGCATCCCTCCTTATTGTGCAGGAATGTGCTGTTCACCAGACGGCTGTTGACAAACTTGTACTCAAATAGGTCTGGAGGGCGAAGGACAAAACACAAACTGTGAAGGGAAGCTCCACAGCTTTAGGCTCTGCATTTATGGAAGTTAGCTGTAGGGGGCTCTCAAAATAATCCCTCTTTGCACTCATTGCAAAATATTGAGTAAGATCACCATAGGAATTAGGAAGCTTTAGAGCCGTAAATGACCATAATATCTCAAACAGTGTGACTGTTTCCAAGGTTTCTCTCCATTAATCTTTGCTTCTTGTTCACTCCCTGTACACCTGAGCTGGCTATAAGCAGCCGCCATACTATGGGACTAAGAAATATACTTCTGGGCTGGGAAGGTGGCTCAGTGGTAGAGCGCTTGCCTTGCATGCATGAGGCTGTGGGTTCGATTCCTCAGCACCATATAAGCAAAAAAGAAAAAACCGGAATTGGCGCTATGGCTCAAGTGGTAGAGCACTAGCCTTGAGCTGAAGAGCTGAGGGACAGCGCCCAGGCCCAGAGTTCAGGACCCACGACCGGACCAAAAAAAAAAAAAAAAAAAAGAAATATATTTCTGAGGAAAATATGAAAAACAACTTTTTAAAAGTCCTAGCCATCCTCTTTTTTTCCTGTAATGTGGGAAAATCTCACCCAGTATTCAATTTAGAAGTGAGAAGCTTCAGTCTCAGTCACAAAACCAGCATTTCATATTTATTTAGTTTAAGGAACACTTGTTAAGTAAATGAATACAATGGTTCTCAACCTTCCCCAATTAATAGTCTTTTTATATTCTTTTTTATTTTTCTAAGAACCTCGTATATTTCATGTGTGTGCTGGTCCTGGGGCTTGAACTCATGGAAGAGGACAATGAAGAAATGTAGTATTTTTGCCTTCTTCAAAAGTATTTTACAACTCAGGCTCTGGTGGCTCACATCTCTAATCCCAGCTACTCAGGAGAGTGAGGCAGGAAAATCTGTGAGCTTATCTTCAATTAACCAAGAAAAAGCCAGAAGTGGAGGTATAGTTCAAGTGGTACAGTACTAGCCTTGAGGGAAAAAGCTAAGAGACAGTGCCCAGGCCCTGAGTTCAAGCCCCAGTACCAGAACCATAAAAGAAAATAAAAAAAGTTAATAATAGCTCACTGAGTTATTATCATTCCAGCTAAAAGACAAAGAAACATTTTTGTTAGATATTCTATCACAAGAAAATAGCCAATGTCCAAATGGATTTTCCACACTAATGGTGGCTAGCCAGTGAGCTCCCACAACACCTACTCCTGGGCTCTCAGCTTGAAAGCTAGTGAATGAGGAAGTGTCCTTCTCTCCTCATTGGATCTACCAGCCCTTTAGCTGACACCCACCAACCGCGCCCACCCCCCTCCCCCACCTTACCAGTGTTATAGAATACAGTATTGATGAACGTGCAGTTGCGGAAGAATGTGTTGCTGGAGGTTACATCTTCAAAATAACACTCTTCAAACAGGGAATCCTCAAAAGACACTGACTTCAGACGCAGCCCAATGAACCTGTAAGGCCAGGATGATGAGACCCTTCCCCTTCATCCTCATCCCTTCTCCAAGACTCACTCCCTTAAGGGAAGTTATGGGAAACTCAGCCTTGAGTAGAAATTGCCGTTTCAATACCTTCCCAGAGTCATCAAAGAGACAAAAGGCACACGACACACAGGGGAGGGGTGAGATTTAAAGGTCCCCACATACTTGTCATTGAAGTACTGCCCCCCTCGGTGAATCTGATTCTCCAGCGTGAAGTTAAAAGTCACATGCTCTACCCGCTCCCCAGGGAACACTTTAGTGCGGGCTGCGTAGTCCACTGCCTGGAGATGGCGGATCATGTCAGGAAACCAGACAGTCAGGCCATAATAGCTGGAATGAAGGGCAGTGTAATCAGTCAAACCCTATTAGGGCCTCAGTCTCCTCCAGACTCATCTCACACTCCTCCCTTCCCAAATGCTTTGGTTCTGGGGACTTCCATGTTTTTGCATGTCATCGATTATTAAAAAAAACATCTCTTCCCTCTGCCTAAAACACCTCTCCCAACTTCTACTTCTCAGCCTGTCTCACTTCCTTCCATTCTTCAGGATTTAGACCTCCACCCCACAGGTTCCAAGTGTTCCCATAGCACTACGCACTTCCTCCATTGTGGCCCCATCATGCTGCTTTATAGCTAGTTCTATCTATCTCTGCCCAAAATGTAAACTCCATGAGGAGTGAGACACATCTACTTTGTCCCAGTACATTACTTATTACCTGCGCAGAATAGAAATGTAATACTAGTCAGCCTGAAATACAAGTTTGTGCAAGGGAGGGAGGGATGGAAGGAGACAGGGAGAGAGAATGGTCCAGACATGGATGGAACATCAGGAAGGGACATGAACAATGCTTTCCCTTGTTATTCATCCCCTTTATTCCTAATTTCATTTCTCCTCCAGCCACCTCAATGCACATAACCACAGCCACCATATATCACCCAGTTCAGCCAACACCTCACCTGAATGACATGGTGAACCACACACCCATCATCATCAGAGTGATGCGTCGATACTCTGGCCCGAAACAGGAGAGAAAATTCCCCCAAACCTATAAGGGACAGAGCACGAGTAGTAACTTGTAGCACCCAAAGATCACTATTTTTGTCCTTCTACATCTCAGTTCACCCCTCAAGGAGCCCTCCCTTCCTTCTCTCCCTCCCCCACTTCCTTTCTTTCTCCACCACACATCTCCCATTACCTGTCCCCCCAGGCTCAAGGCTCGGACCCCCCAACGCTGGTACCAGGTCCCTGTGTCTGACTGGATCTCAATCAATTCATCCTCTTGATGAATCGTCTTAATGTGGGTAACCTGGATGGAATCAAAAGAAGGATGAGCAATCACATTGTCTGTATTTTCCAACCCATTCCAAGTGTCTCTGTTTCCCCAAAGTAGAAAAATGGAAGAGGGGATATAACCCCTGAGAATGTCATTGATCGAGAGTTTAACCTGAGATGGCTAGGAAATTGGGGAGCATCCAGGAAGACCAAGTGAGGGCTGGCATTTTCAAGGCTTGGGGGCTCGAGTGGGGAGGGTTGTAACTTACTGAGAATACTCGCTCAGGATGCCCCTTGGCTCGCATGTTGGTATCATGAACCTGCTTCAGCACCATCCAGGCCTCATCATGCTTCCCATTCTAGAGCCATAGACATGATCCCAACATCCATGTCAACCCCTCCAGACCCAGGATTACAGAACCTCTCTAATCTGGCTTCAGAAGTCCCAGATGCAAAATGACTCCCGCCCTCAACCCCCACCTACAGCAAGTATCAACCTAAGCTGGGGTCCGGCAATATGTAATCAGACTTGAGTAAGAATGGAGGTCTAGGGGGAAAATCCAAGCACAAGTTCTAGTGATTTCTTAGTACAATGAACAGAGAAAACTGCAGACAAGGGCAATGATGGGCAAGTGTGTAGTCAGTGAAGGGGTGGCATCTTAACCTTGCTCAAGCCAGATAGAACTGAAGAGGGAAGACGTAAGGGGTAGGAATCTAACTGCAGCTACAAAGTAAGAGCCTGGGTCAGGGCCCCAGCCTACAAAGTCTTAGCTGAGAATATTCTTTGGTGTATTCATCCATGAAACCCCTCTGGATAAAATTACTCAGAGTGCAGAGAAGGAGAACATCCACACAGGATCCCGCTAAACCCACAGTGACTATTTAAATATAGGGGCTTTTGCTGCCTTCCCACCCCACCCCATTCAGCCCAGCCCCATTCACCTCCAGGAAGAAGCGAGGGCTCTCAGGCTGCGTGGTCAGAGCCCCGATGGCAAACACAGAAGGAAAGGCGCAGACGAGGACAAAGACCCTCCAGCTATGGAACTGGTAAGCAGAACCCATCTGAAAACTCCAACCTGCCAAAGACAGTCACAGCATCAGCAGAGAGGCCCAAGGTGGGAGCTCCCACCATAGAAAGGAGGGAGTCTAGAGAGTGTCTTCTGAGGGGTGCTCACCATAATGGGGGATGATGGCCCAGGCCATAGCGGCTGCATATACTCCACCAATCATCCAGAACATGCAGAGCCAGCTTAAATGTTCCCCACGTTTCTCCTGGGCCAGAAACTCCGAGAAATAGGAGAAGACAATGGGGATAGACCCTCCAATCCTGGAAGACATTGGAAAAATTCAGTATTTAGGAAATGGCCATATTCCTTCATTCCTAGTCCCCTAGATCCCCGAGTCCTTTTTATCTTCCACACCTTTTTAAAAAAAAACTCCATCTCACATACCATGCGTACAAATTGCCCTCACCACCAGCATCAAACACCCGTTCTTGGGCTAGTGGGAAACAGGCAAGCAGGTCTCAAGGGAAGGGGGAAAAACCCACATTAAATATTAAAGGCAACCACCAAGTTAGGAGAAAAGGAAGATAACTGTAGAAAATGGAAACACTCCTGAGAAAGAAGGAAAATATGAGGGCAAAAAAATGTGATGGCGTAGCCCAGAAAAGAGCTTGAGATGAGGGAGCACCAGTGAGAGCCTGCCCGTGCATGGGGAATGCAGGCAGAGTAGCTCAAGGCTTCAACTTCTTGCCAGTTTGGGTGTCAGCAAGGTTGTTGTCAAATGCAGGGAAAAGGTAACATCTAAGAGAGGGTAACTCTAGGAACCACAGAGCACAGGGCTAAGGCCAAGGTCCACTAGGCCTCTTGATATGATGAGTTCTCAGAAAGAGAACTCATTTGGGGGACTCAGGAGTGGATCAGACATGGAATGATATTCTGGATGGCAGCAGGCAGGCCCTGGATGAAGAAGCTGTCTGAAGCTGGTGGAGAAAACAAAACACAAAACATTCGTTCATTCATTCATTCATTCATTTCACAGACATGTAAGGTGCACTTATGCTTGCAGTTATACTGAATTCCAAAGGCAGCAGCAACCAAGGCACAATCCTTTCTTTCAAGCGTCTTAGAATGTGAACACTCACCCAACCCCAGAGAGGAGGCGACAGAAGAGGAAAGTGCCATAACCCTGGACGAAAGATGAGAAGAAAGCGAAGACACTGTTGACTGAGAGTGAGATGAGCAGACACTGTCTCCGACCCAGCCGATCAGCCAGACCTCCCCAGAGGAAGGCTCCCACCATCATGCCTAGGTAGACGATGAGGCCTGGAAAGGGGAGGAGGAGGAGGAAATCAGAAGCAGAAGGAGGATGAGCAAGTACGTCTCAATTCACCCAGCAACTAAGCATTATAGTAGCTGAAAATGGGATAGAATGGATGGAGGATCTGAAGAGCATCTAGTAGCTGTTTACCCAAAGATAAGACAAGCCAGTGAGAGAAGATGGATTGTATGAGCAAATCACTGTAGACCACCGATTCAAAGGTCAGAAGGTGGAAGATAGATATGGGAGAACCCCAAAACTTCTCTTCTCTCTCCTTTCCTTTCTCTCTCTCTTTCTTTCTCTTTCTCTCTCTCTCTCTCACACACACTCACACACTCACACACACACACACCTTAGTTCACATACAAGGAAGAATGTCTAGGTTCCCACATCCTCCCTGGGTTCTTTCTACCCACCCTTCTTTGATGCAACAGGTCTCTTTTATTTCTTGAGAAAGGGACCCCAATTTCTTTAAATCTTCCCAAGGTATCTCTCACACAAAATCTGTTCTTTACTCCTTCCAGTCCCAATACTTCTGGTCCTAAAACTCCCCAGTTTATTGCTTCCTTCATAAAATCAGAATTAGAGTTGATCTTAAACATCGTCTACTCCTCCAAACTTTTTATCCACACCTAAACCGAGCCTGCATCTTTTCTTAGTGAGTCTTAGAGGTTTCCCCCTCAAGGTCCCTATCAGAAAAGGACATCAGATCCTACTCAGGATCTACATCAGGCCCCCTAAACACTCCCAAACCTGAGGAGTTCTTACCTCTATTACCCCAAACTGACCATCCCCCAGTGAGCATGACTACTGATGGATTTTTCCCCATTCAGGAAAAAGGAACAGAGAGGCTGTGGAGAAACACTAAACAATGACCCAACTTACCCTGGGCCATATCCTACAGAACTAAGCAAACCATTCCCCACCACCTAGCCACTAGCCCAAGCCCGGATCCAGCTACCCTCTCTCAACCTCTTTCACGTGCAACCTCTTCCAAAAGAGGGTGTGTGTGAAAGAGCAGTGTGCAGAGGAACTCTAGGCCCTCTGGGGACATGTTGGAAGGAGAAGGAGAGTCCACAGGGGCCTAATGGGAAGGATGGAGACAAAGATGTTTCCGGAGTTGAGAGTAGAATAGGGCTGCAATACCCCCGATTGGTCTTACCCAGCATTCCTTTGTTGGAGTCAGACAAGCACATGTCTTTCTCTGCACTGGGCAACACGAAGCCCACCACAAAGACCTCCACACCATCAGCCATCAGTGCCAGACCAAGCACGAAATAGAGCGTCCACTGGAATCGGCCGTGGCCACACTCCCGAAGGATGGTTTCATACTGCTGGGCCAGTTCTTCACGTTCTTTCCGCCTCTGTGCCTCCCCCCTGCCCCCGGGAGGACCCTCCCCATCGCTCAAGCCTCCTCTCACTCCAGCCAGGGGTGCCCCATCTGCCATCCTCTCACTTTTGCCGCTAGATTCTGCCCGGGGAATACCCTGATACTCCCCCTCGTAGATCTCATCATCCTCGTCATGGCCCTCGGTGGCATCACTGGATGCGCCACCTTCCTCCTCATCCTGGGCCCCTTCTCCACGGTAATAGCCATCAGCAGGGGCAGGGAAGTCATCGTCATCCTCCTCCTCTTCAAAGCGGGAATAGGATCTTCGAGAATACTCATCCTGGACTCTGTCCAGGCCCTTCACCACTTTCTTGGTCGCATGCTTCTTGACTTCCTTGGCAATGTCTTTGGCCCCACGGATGAAGGCTGCCCGATCTCGGAAGCCCTCTTCCATGATCGGGCTTTGGACACTTCACCAGATCTGCCTCCTTCTCTGGTTGCTTTTCAAGTTTCTGCTCAAGGACGGGTAGAGTCAAGAAGATCCCTCCCCAAGGTGGGAACAGGTTCCAGAATCTTTGGACTCAGGATAAGAGGAAATAGGAGCTGGGAAGGAAAAGGGCTTGGATCTACATTGAGTTCAGAAGGGTGAGTGGGGAAGGGAGGGAAGGAACAGGGGGATCAGAAGGGAAAGGGGAGCCAGGTTGGTCTGGGGAGCCAGGGTCACTCAGGAAGGGCTGCGTAGTTCTCTTCCAGGAGCCTTTGGAGACCTGTGAAAAGTAAGAGAGAGAAAAAGGAAGCTGTGAGTTGTAGGACAGTGACAAAAGCTAATATAGAGGCCCTCTCATCCCAGAGCCTCACCTGGGCCACACCAATACAAGTCCTCTTGCTTTGAACTCAGAAGCTGCGGCCATGAAATCTGCTCAGGAACCACAGCTACCTACTCCAGGCCCTTTTCTAACCCCTGCCCACATCCAATTCAGACATCTCACTTTATCACCAACCTGCAAGAAAACACAGGTGCTGAGGGTATAGCTCAAGCAGTAGAGCACTTGTCTAGCAAGTGTGAGGCCCTGGGTTCAATCCTCAAGAGTGGAAAACAAAAAAAAAAAAAAAAAAAAAAGCTAAAAGCTCCCTTAGACAGCCTTGGGTTAGAAACCACATGACCTA